TATATACATACATACATTTCTACTTCATACTTATTATTTTTGTTGCTGCTTTTTATTCATTTTCAAATCTTCGTAGTATTTATAGCTGAATGTATGGATGGATATAGTAGAGAATTTTATACCTTTTTTTAAAATTTTAGATTTTATATGCAAACATTTCATTATCCTTTTCAGCGTTAATGCATTTTATACTTTAAAATGTGTGAGTGTAAATGTTTCTGTTGTTGTATTTGAAATTGCTCTGAGTTGGTTTGTATGATTTGTGTTCTTTTGTTTGGATTCTTCTGTTTCTTCTTTTGCTGGCATGGCAGTTGGAGGTTTTTCAATTTTAGCAGTCACATTAAAATTCCTGTAGATTTAATGATTACTTTATACTTACATAAATATTGTGTATAATCCTTTCAGTCTTATTTTAATACGTACATACATATGTATGCATATGATGTATGTAAGTAAGTATGTAATATATCTATTGTTCAGGAGCTGAATTGTTGCCTACTGTTGTACCACTTGTGGTGTTTTAAATGTTTAATTTTCCCAGTTGGTATCACGTCATACGTATTTTGTGTATTAAATATTTTAACTTTAATTTTTAAAGGGTCCTGTCCAAGGATTTAAGTAAACTTTTTTTTTTTTTTTGAGAGAAAGGAAACCCTTAACTCGTTATTGTAATAAATATACATACTGTGGCTAGAAAAAAGAACAATTGTATAGAATTTATAGAAATTATTATATGAAAATCAAAACGCAATAACACTTTTAATGAAATTCTCAAAGAATTCTCAATCACACAAAAGGTAGTTTGAAGATAAGTCTGTGATTTTAATTTATAAGAGCTGATAATCGGAAAAGGTTAGCTATTTTGGCAAAGAAATTTGTTTGTTCGAAAGATTTCACATGGTAAGTGTTTCTTTAGCTATTGTAAATTTAATTGCTTTGGCAACATTTTCGCAATGACTTCATTGTGAGCTATTGTTGTCTCATAATGTAGTCAATTCAAATATTTTATTACATTTTATTTAATTCAATTTTAAAGCAAATGGTTTAAAGGATTTCGTTTTATCAATTGTCGAACCAATAAATATCACAGCGGTATTAATATGAACAAATGTTTTGAAACAAACCTATTTTAGTAACCCTGCTTACAGTTTCAATTGTTCAGATTTCTTTAACTGCTTATTTCCTATGTATATCTTCTTGACTAACCTGTTAAATATAGAACTGCTATGTACCCCAAATAATACTAATATACAGATTTTCGGATTCAATTGTTCCTTCAGCATGATATTCATACATATATAGGACAGATCAAACTTGTTAAGATGCCAACTAAAAGATATCAGATATCGGATTTAAATTATTCTTTCAGCATGATATATACTTATATATACAGGCCAGGTCAACTATGGAATAACACTAAAAACTTTACTATCCATAAATATATTAGTACCTTCACTAATATGCTCATATACAAACTGAACCTTCCAGTGAATTTTGCTTTCTGAAATATGGCATTGGATGATTTAAGAACCTATTTAATTTAATATTTAATGGTTTAATATTTAATTTCTTCTTTTGTTTATCAGCATTCTTCTTCTTTTGTTTATCAGCATTTAAACGTATCAAAATTTCATTGAAACTTGTGCTATCAGACCTAGATGTTCATCTGTGACCATTTGCTCTATATCCCATCACTACCCTTGATCAAATTCATTTCCTCTATACTGAATTGTCTGAGTCTTAGGCAGTCCCACATATTAGTTCGTTCTTTAAGATATTTCAGATGACAAAGACCTTGAATTAAGTAGATGGCGTTGATACAACTTCTTTTCTTCTTGACCTAAATCATTGTTATATGATATTAAAACCAGAAGTAAAGTTGATTTTGTCGAAGCCAGTTGATGAAATGTGACCCAAGTATGTACACAGATATGTCGATCTTTCGAATTATTTTCGTCTCATAAGTTTAATTCACTTTACTTTTCTTCTTGGAGCAAAGTACTAATGAGAATGAATAAAATACAAATTCCTAAATTTCGAGAATCTTTAAGGTTTACCAAATAATAACACAGCCAAACAAATTTTTAATCCAGAGACTAATGCATACTTTTGAAGAATCCGAATCTGACCTACTAAAGTTTAAAAATAAACTAGTTTTTGGACATGTTTGAGACGTCACAAGAGCACGAAGTTATCTTAAATTTTAAAATCTCTTATATTATATGAAAGTCCAATCTCTCGACTTTAAAATAAAGTTTTAGTCTCAGTTATATGTTCTTCCTTCTTTCAGATATCTTAACCTAAAGCTTGAAACAAACATTTTTGATAAATACTTTTTTAGTTAAAAATTGAGCCCATATTAAAATTCTGTGCAGCCCAAATTCTTAGAAAAGTATATCTTGGACTTTGGGTTTCGACTATTTTTGTTTTGGAATATTCGGAAATTGCTTTATGTGTCGGTAATAACATCTCTCGGTTTATATCATCTTCTTAAAACTTCTAATCCTATCTACTCTTTTACTCCTTTTGCCACATTTAACATTCATACTAATTCATCTAAAGGTCAAGAGTGGATTTCGCAAGATGTTCATCTGTACTATTCTTCCAAATTCTAAGTTTTGAAAGCTTTCCAACTCAGTCGAAGAGTGGTCAAAGGTGTTTAACTTTGGCGGTAGATTATCACTCTTATGATTTTCTAGAGCATCATCGCAATGTGAATTATGTTCAATCTTTACTACAATATATTGAATTTTGCTGAAATAAAGGAATTTGTTCTCGTGGAACCCGTTTCCACAACATAGTTGTATTTACGCTCTAGAACGTTCTGGCAACATATGATTTCCGCGCCTCAAAATAACTAACTGCTCATCCTTTAAGGCCAAGAACATAACAAGCTTATTTCGGATATTTTCTTCTGAAGTTAAGCGCATCTACATTCTACGTTGATCGAAACAAATATGAAGTAGTCGGAACGGGCAAAGTCTGGATAATAAGGCGATTAAGGAAAAACTTCGCTAACCCTTTTTTCTAATTAGCACAGTCCAACAAAATTTGTAAAAGTCGAAACCCAGAGACCGAGGTGTACTTTTCTAAAGGATTGAGCTGCACCAAATCCAAAGCTGATCAGAATTTCTCCATCACATTAAGTATTCGAGATATCGTGTCATAAAAATTTTCAAAATCTTGTTTTTGGACATACATATTTGAAACATTTAGGTTGCAGAGCGAAACGTTTAAACTTTTCTCATCTTTCTGGCAACATATGATTTCCGCGCCTCAAAATGCTAACTGTTCTGAAGTAAAGTGTATCCTAGAGCGAGCGTTCTACATGGATCGATACAAATGGTAATTGGAAGGGGCAAGGTCTAGATAATAAGGCGTTTGAGGAAAAACTTCCCAAACCCTTCTCTCTAAATAGAAAAGGTCAACGAGAGGTATACTTTTCTAGAGAATTGAGCCGAATTCGAATATGGATCAGAATTTCTCCATCTCATTAACTTTTCGAGATATCGTGTCATAAAAATTGCAAAAACCCCATTTTTGTACATAAATATTTGAGACATTGAGGTTTCTGATAAATTGTTAAAAAATTAAAACTTTCCAACAGTTATACTCGAGGGACTATTATATCACATGACCGACATATTACAGAGGAATTTTATGACTCAGCAGTACGGAACTAGCTATTTAACCTATCACTTAGTATTATCCATAACCACCCGACTATCCAGGTGATTAGCTATTTTAACATATAGGAAGGAAGTTAATCGTTACTCCATAGATTACAAAGAGGCAGTAAATTGACTACTGTCACCGCTTTCGCTTACAAAAAAGACACTACATATGTATATTGACGATTGTCTTGTCTCGTTTACAAAGAGTGTTTTCGTGATCAAAGACGAACTAGAGATAATCAAGTGCTTAGACTTTAGTGGAAATGATTATAGTTTTCGGATATATCAACTCTTTGTAGAACTGCTGGAAAGCTCATACCTGAAAAAAAAACTTTTAAACCCAAAAATTATACCAACCTTAGGAAGTAAAATTTAAATTCCTGAATTTTTTGTTTCAATTCCTTACCTTTTCCAAAAAACCTGATGGCGTATAGATGGAGAATGGGATAATTTAAACAAACTACAAAGGCCATTGTAATAAAAGCATGAAATGCCACATTTTCAAACAACATCTTGAGCTGTACCATCTCAGGCTAGACATTGTATGGAACACAAAATGAAATGATGAAAAAAAAAAACAGAAATAAATGAAAACGACCACCTGCAAACAGAACCGAAAAAAGGAGCAAATCAAGTAAATTACAGCACAAATATAAACAGAATGAATCCATACATATGTATGTTACAAAAACACAAACATATAATAAATGGAAACGGGTTAAATAAAAGATGGAACTTTTGATACGCCACATACACACAAACACACTAACCAACAAGGCGAAGAGTAAATGGAGTGATTTAACAATGGGTGCTGCCGCAACCCATAGATGGATGGTGTTGATGTTTAAAAGAACCCAAAGAAACAAACACATAAAAACAACAACAACAACAAATGCTATATAATGATGATGAAGGCGATAATGGCTGTTAATACGACATATGATGCAATTTATAAATGAACCAAGAAGAAGAACAGCAACAACTTTGAAAAAAATCAGAAACACCCCTTAATTGTGATAAACAATGAAGGAGCCTGAGAGTTGTAGAGAGTGAAAGAGAGGTAGAGAATGTAATATGAGTAAATTAGGGTGTTGTTTTCAGAAAAAATTCAACTCTGATTGACATTTTATTTTTGTAACTGTATACATTACTCTCCCATTTATTAATGTTGCAGTTTTGTTGTTTTGTTTCTGAGAAATAACTGTAGTTTGTGAGAGCACGTGTACGTGAGAGATTCTCTGGGGAAAATTTATAGACGACAAGCGCATTGAAATTTACGTGAATTTCCAAAACTGAAAACTTACCGACGGCAGTGAGTGTGAAAAAAAGAAGAAAATAATGCAAAAACAAGTAAAATCTAAAACAAAAACAAAGTAACACTTTCTTTATTTAAAAATGGCGCCTATAAATTATGAGTGCATATTAAAATAATGGTGCTGCTGATGTTAACGATGGAATGTGTGTGTGAGAAGCATTGTTGACGACATTAACACACCCACGCCCGCGTTTTTTGTCGTGCTTTTTTGCTATAACCTCATTAAGACGTGATCGCCTTTCTTTGCGCTCTTTTAAATATTAATTTTTAATGACATTTTGTATTTGTTTTAAACTTCTTTTTTGCTGGTAAATAAAATGCTACACATATCCTGCTTTACCATTCCCGCAAGTTTTGTTTGCTAACGTTTTTTTTCCTTAATCAATGCAAGTTTTCCTTTCTCTGTTGGCCTTTCCTCAAGTTATTTCTCTCTGTGTTTTTGTATACAGACATGTTGAAGCATTAATACACATTAATATATAAAATACCGTTATTGCATTAATTTACATTTACGGCATTTCTTCTGTCATAATTCAAATATTTGCATTTCAAAATTGACATTGTCGTTACGTGGTTGAAATTAACGGTAAATATCTCTATATATCGTCAATGTAAATTTATTAATTTTACTGTTGCATTTATTGTGCTGCTGGTGTTTTTACTCAACTTTAATAAAGAACAACAACAATAATGACAAATATACTATTTGTTTAGCTTTGCCAAAATGTCAACTCGTATTCAAAATAATTAAAAATTATATATGTACATACGTTTCACAAAGTGTTTTATCAGTGAAAAAAGTTTTGTGTTTTAAAGATAAATAAAAAAAGAGAAAATTTTAAATAAATTGCTATCAACACACAGAAAAATATATGTAATTATATTTACATTGTAATAATATTTAAATTTAATAAACAAAATAAATTTCAAATTAAAACATTTACCAAAGGATTACTTACGTTCGCACGGATTATTTGCAAAAGTTTTAATTTACTTTAATATCTGCAGATACATAAGCTTTATATACGAGGGTGAGTAATTAGATTTTGAATTTAATGATTTTCAAATTAATATGTTCAAAACTTGGACTTCTTCTTGAAATTTTAAAACTTTCAAATGAAATTTATAGATTCTAAGGGCCTCATTCATAACAATTTATCAATAAATTAAATAAACCTTCGATAAAATGTTATGAATAAGGCAGAAAACTTAATTTTGGTTTGAATTTATATCTAAAATCATTGAAGTTTTTTTTTTTTAACAAAGAAAGCATTTCATTCCTCTAGTGTCTTAAAAATAACTTTTTTGTATTAGAGCCCTGCATGAGTAACTCTATTTGCTACACACAATGAGTGACTCATTGCTTTGCACTCAACTCATTGTTTGTTTAGAATAGTATTTACAAAGTTTTGTTATACTCAAACGTTGTGAGTACTATCAAGTGAATGTGCAACTACATTCAAATCGAGCGAGTAAACAATTTGTTTATGTTAAAACAATACAAAATAGATTGTTTGAATCGAATGAATCGATTCAAACTTTTTCTTGAATAAATGGTGAAAATTTTGAATGCTGTTAAAACTAGTTCCTGTGGCCCGAATTCGCTGAAATTTGGTAGTCTTGAGTACAATTGATGACAAGATAATATTATGTTCGAATATTCGAAATTAAGTTCGAAAATTCGAAGTTATGTTCGAAAAATTTTTTATGCTTTTAAATTATTCTTTGAGTCCAAAAAACTAAAAAAAAAATTTTCGAAAATTCGAACTCATGTTCGAAAAAAATTTAAAGCTGATAAAACCAGTTTCCGTGGACCAAATTGGCTGAAATTTGGCAGTGTTAAGTACAGTTGATGACCCTACTATATTATCTTCGACTATTCGAAATTAAGTTCGAAAATTCGAAGTAATATTCAAAAAATCTGTTAATTTGTCGAACTTAAAAATTGTTTTGCTTTCACTCGATTCACTCACTGTATACTACTTGAATTGAATCACACAAACACTCTCATTACTTGTTTCGTTAGAATTGAGTATTGACTAACATTCCTTATTTTCAAATATACTATTCATTTCATTCATAAAACAATGAGTGAGTCAAACACAGTGTTTGAAAAAAATCAAGTGTTTTAATTTATTATTTAAGTCACTCATGCAGGGCTCTATTTTGTATTCGATGAAAATTTTATTCGAAATTTTTTTCGATTTGTTAAATATCGGACTTTATACTATAAATTCTGGCAATTTTTATTAAATATTACTGACAATTAAATAATATTTTGATATAGAACACTGAGAATTATCAAATATTGCAACATTTACCTTCGATCTTCATAGTTTATGGTTTAAGATTGTCCCGATTTAAATTTTACTTTCTGGGCTACACTATTTATACCCTACACCACTATAGTGGGAAGGGTATTATGCGTTTGTGCTGATGTTTGTAACGCATTAAAATATTAGTACAATACCTTAAAGCAGCGGTTCCCACCGTTTTTTACTTCGCGGACCCCTTGAGGAATTTATTTAATTTAACGGACCCCCATACATATTTTGATATCTTATTGTTATAAATAACACTGTGATACAAAAGTGAAGAAAAATAAAATGCAGGCGTTCTCATACACCAATTCTATTTCGTTATAGTCCATAGAGTACGAATATATTTTTAGTTTTCCCCTATCATTTCGTTAACTTACTTTTTAAGAGCAAAAGATGCGAAAAAGAGCCATTTTTGAAGTTTTAAATTTGAAAAATCATAAGTTTAGTAGTTTTCATCCGATTTTCATCCGATATTTTTTTAATGATACAAGTGTCTTTTAATCCAAAAAAAGAAATCCAAAATTTATGGTCAAATGTCTGAGTTACGGTCGTTTAAGTAAAAAAACTCACACTTTTTTAAAAAATTTTCATTTTCATCATGCTCTACTTTGACCATGAGGCAGTGAGTTCATCTTTCATTACTTTCCTGAAGAATCACATAAAGGAAGGGTTTTAAAACTTGTTATTTCATAAAAATCTATGAAAAACTGGATGATTTATGCCAATTTTTCTAATAGCATGTTTCTCGAATTTTTGGTTTTCTCCATACAAATTAATTTTTGTATAAAAATGTTTATAAACATTTTTTAAACTTGTTACAAAGAAAATTTTTACAAAACTTAGCACAACTCATAACCTTTTTCATCGATTATCATAAATTGACCATCATTGGAAACCCAACTTAATGTGCCTTTTTTCAAATGTAATAAAAGCTAAAGTTACTGCTTCATGGCCAACGTAGAGCAGTATGAAAATTAAAAATTGTGAAAAAAGTGTGAGTTTTTTTACTTAAATGGCCGTAACCAAGACATTAATCATAAATTTTGGATTTATTTTTTCGGGTTGAAAGACAACACTTGTATCTTTAAAACAAAATATCCAATTTAAAAATCGGTTGCAAACTACCAAACATATATTTTTTTTAAAGTTAAAACTTCAAAAATAGTTCTTTTTCACAACTTTTGCTCTTAAAAAGGAACTAAACGAAGTGATCGGGAAAAATTAAAAATAAATTCCTACTCTATGGACTATAACGAAATGGAATTGGTATATGAGAACCCCTGCATTTTTTTGCTGTATCACTGTGTAATTGTTCGTCCGAAAATTGTCTTAGTCCTGGTCCATAAACCCTATAAAATATTCCCGTACATTGAGAACATTTAGTATTTCGGAGATGTTTTCAATTTCATGGTTTTAAATATAGAATGACTTCTAACATGATGTTTAATTTTATGATCGTGAGAGCTTTCATGTTCATTTCTCGTCAAGGTAGAGAAAAGGTTTCTTTAACAAGTATTGTCGACATGTGCTTAAAGAGTCATGTTTCTAAATTTTTTTGCGATTGCATAGGAGCTGAGTATGTAAGCTAAGTTTTCGGGAAAATATGTGAAAGTTAGACTTCTTCGATGTTGTTGCGGAATGCGTTACCCACATAAAATATGACCTGAACTCTTTACGAATGTACTGTGAATTTGGATCTTAAATTTGAATTTTAAAATACCTACGAATTATTTTACTGCGTGGTTTTGACTATTTACGCAAAACGCTATGAATTTTCTGATGTTGATTTAATAATATTGGACAACAAAATGAAGTTAAAATCTGTGTAACACGTTGGAATGGAATATTTATATTTAAAATTAACTAGATTAACACTTTTGCTTACAATTTAAAAAAATATTATGAAATGTGACCTAACTTCATATTCCGGGATACCAGTATCAGTATTTAATTCTAAGGCAAATCATTATCCGTCTGCTATAAAAACATTTATTTCGATACATATATATTTATAAAAATTACAAAATCACGTAATACTTTACTTTATAAAAGTGAAACAATAAATTTGTAGGGCCTAGCTTCATCCTGATAAACGACCGAAACAATAAAATTCAAAGAGTCACCAACAAATCTGGGATTATTGAATAAAAATTGTGTATTTTAGTATTTATGAAAAATTTTGAGATATTTTTAATATTTTGTAACATATAGAGAATATTTTTTATTCATGATTTTTTTCGTTCGTCTTCGCGGACCCCCTAGGATTTTGCTACGGACCACTAGGGGTCCGCGGACCCCCTTTTGGGAACCGTTGCCTTAAAGTATACCGATCGACTCAGAATCACTTTCAGAGTCGATTTAACGATGTCCGTCCGACCGTCCGTGTGTCCATGTAAACGTTGTTATCAAAGTACAGGTCGCAATTTCCAAGATAATTCGATGAAATTTGGAATACATGTTTGTTTTAACCCAAGGACTAAGCCTATTGAAAATGGTTAAAATCGGTCCATTATTTCACCTAGCCCCCATACAACTGAACCCCCGAAAAGGGCTTTTGAGCTCATAATTATGTATAATGTAAATGTATCTCGATGAAAGTTCGCATAACTAAGTTTTATACGAGCCTTAATGACCTTGCCGAATTTCGAAATGATCGGACTTCATTTGACCCTAGCCCCCACACAAAGCCTTTTTTTGGTCAATTATGGACCGATCCTCATCAAATTTTCTAAAACGATTTTAGTTTAGGCAGTAATGATCGTCAAAGCCATTTTCTGAAGGGGGCTTTATATGGGGGTAGGATCAATTATGAACCGATCCTTATAAAAATTTTACAATCATATTAAGGTTCCTATAAAATATGCTCATGTCGAATTCCATCGCTATAGATGCTTCTTTAAGGCAGTTATGAGCGTTAAAGTCATTTTCTGAAGGGGACCTTATATGGGGGGTAGGGTCAATTATAGACCGATCCTTATAAAATTTTACAATGATATTAAGGTTCCTATGAAATATGCTCATGTTGAATTTCATCGCTATAGATGCTTCTTTAAGGCAGTTATGAGCGTTAAAGTCTTTTTATGAAGGGGACCTTATATCGTGGACCGATATTGCCCATTTTCAATACCAAACAAACTGCATCAATATAAAATATCTGTGCAAAATTTCAGCCCGCTAGCTACTTCCATTTGGTCTCTATCGTGTTTTCAACAGACAGACAGATAGACAGACAGACGGACATAGCTAGATCGTCTTAGAATTTACTAAGGATCCAGAATATATGTACTTTTATGATGAATATTTTGATGTGTTACAAACGGAGTGACAAAAACAATATACCCCCATCTTTTTTGATGGTGGTATAAAAATAAATCACATTAAATATTCATAACTGGTGTAGCGTATCATATAGTCGGCCAAGCCCGACTATACTTTCTTACTTGTTTCTCTAAAATATAAAAATATATGTAATTTTTCCGAAATCCACCGGGTTCAAGTCGCAAGTGCAGCTAACTGTAAGAGGTATTGATCTATTGTTTTCACATAAGATCTCCCAAAAACTTCAGCAACTATTAACGTTACCCTCTCAGTATAATTTTTTGCCCGACATAGTTTTCTAACCAAAGAATACTTCAAAAGGGGAGGCACGGGCAACTTCGTAGAGAAAAAATTAAAACTTCGTTGAAATCTTTTAGTTAAAAAAAATCACA